TATATGCCACCATTACACATTACTAACTTTGTCTCCTCTCTCCCGTAGTGTGTCCTCTCTCTCTCCCTGTACCTTTCTGCAGGTTGCCCTGGCCCTGGAGCTCTATATTTCTGATGAGCAGTCACCGGCTACATCAACTTGACCAGTGTTCGATTGTTTGTTGTGTCTTGTTGCTTTTCTTCTTTCCTCTCTCCTCTATCCACTCACCCCAACCGGTCGAGGCAGAAGGCCGCCCACCAAGAGCCGGGGTCTGTCGGAGGTTTCTTCCGTTAAAGGGAGTTTTTCCTCCCCACTGTCGCCAAGTGCTTGCTCAAGGGGGATTTGTTGGGCTTTCCCTATGTAATAATATTGATAACGGTAAGGTCTAGACCTTACTTTGTAAAGTGTCCTGAGATGACTTTTGTTGTGATTTGGTGCTATACAAATAAAATTTGACTTGATTTGATTAGATATATACTCAGTGGCAACAGGGCGGCCCATGCCCCCTGTTAATAAATTGCTACTGGTTTTATACATATGTATGTGTCTATGTAAAGTGCTAATATCACCCAACCCTGATGTCAAGCAGTTCTGATGACAGTTGTTCTTGTGTATTTACTTTGTCAACCAGGCTCTTCATGGGAAGCAGTGCAGACACCCCTTCACCAACAGACTCCTCCCCATCATCACTGATTCAGTGGTAGACATGGAGCTTGGAACAGGTGACACCTGCCTTCTCTCTAACGCATAACAATGTGGACATCAGTAGGCTCGCAGCTTATTTTCAGCATTGAAAATATGTGGATTTTTAAGCTGTTCCTGTTTTTACCCATCCTTGACATGAGTGAATACTGTTGCTCTGTGATTTGAGCTGTTTGCCTCAATCTCTGTTTGTGTTTTGTAGGTGCAGTGAAGGTGACCCCTGCTCATGATCACACTGACTTTCTGCTCTCGAAGAGGCACTCACTGCCATGCCTCACTGTGATCGCAGGAGATGGAACCATGACCCCCCCCTGTGGACAGTGGCTGGAGGTGCATAAACTTATCTCCAAACTTTGTGTCTATGAAGTCTTGTAAAGATGTGATCAAACTGGATATGTCATCTGTCTCAGGATGCAGTACGGGCCTTGTAAAACTGCTGAAACTGTTGTCACTAATAGAAAAATTGTAACCTTAGTGAGTTTGATGCAGCGAAAAAAGTCCATGAGCCCTCTCAAATGATCTGCATTGGTGTATAAATTTATCTTAAAATATAGTCTGATCTTCATCTCAGTTTCAGTTATTAACAAACAACATTTATTTTGAACAATAACACACAAAGTAAACCTGTTAAATGTGCTCTTCTCCAACAGGAGGTCAGCATAAGCATAAACTTTATTGCCAAGCATTTATCAAAAATACAAGGAATTTGAGTGGTACATGCTTTACTGTCCAATATATACAGTAGGTACGGAAAATATTCAGACCCCCTTAAATTTTTCACTTTTTGTTATATTGCAGCCATATGCCAAAATCATTTAAGTTAATTTTTTTCCTCATTAATGTACACACAGCACCCCATATTGACAGAAAAACACAATTTTTGACATTTTTGCAGATTTATTAAAAAAGAAAAATTGAAATATCACATGGTCAAGTATTCAGACCCTTTGCTGTGACACTCATACTGTATATTTAACTTGGGTGCTGTCCATTTCTTCTGATCATCCCTGAGATGGTTCTACACCTTCATTTGAGTCCAGCTGTGTTTGATTATACTGATTGGACGTAATTAGGAAAGCCACACACCTGTCTATATAAGACCCTACAGCTCACAGTGCATGTCAGAGCAAATGAGAATCATGAGGTCAAAGGAACTGCCTGAAGAGCTCAGA